CTGATTGTTTCGTTGTGAGATATAAAGGCCGATGATTTCACTAATGCTCATTGGAGTGCCAGATTGTTTCGTTGTGTGATATAAAGGCCGATGATTTTGCTTTTGCTCATTGGAGTGCCTGACTGTTTCGTTGTGTGATATGAAGGCCGATGATTTTACTAATGCTCATTGGAGTGCCTGATTGTTTCGTTGTGAGATATAAAGGCCGATGATTTCACTAATGCTCATTGGAGTGCCTGATTGTTTCGTTGTGTGATATATAGGCCGATGATTTTACTTTTGCTCATTAGAGTGCCTGATTGTTTCTTTGTGTCATATGAAGGCCGATGATTTCCCTTATGCTCATTGGAGTGCCTGATTGTTTCGTCGTGTGATATAAAGGCCGATGATTTCACTTATACTCAATGGAGTGCCTGACTTGTTTCTTTGTGTCATAGGAAGGCCGATGATTTCACTTATGCTCATTGGAGTGCCTGATTGTTTCGTTGTGTGATATAAAGGCCGATGATTTCACTTATACTCAATGGAGTGCCTGACTTGTTTCTTTGTGTCATATGAAGGCCGATGATTTCACTTATGCTCATTGGAGTGCCTGATTGTTTCTTTGTATGATATAAAGGCCGATGATTTCACTTATACTCATTAGAGTGCCTGATTGTTTCGTTGTGTGATATAAAGGCCGATGATTTTACTTTTGCTCATTAGAGTGCCTGATTGTTTCTTTGTGTCATATGAAGGCCGAATTCACTTATGCTCATTGGAGTGCCTGATTGTTTCTTTGTATGATATGAAGGCCGATGATTTCACTTATACTCATTAGAGTGCCTGACTGTTTCTTTGTGTCATATGAAGGCCGATGATTTCACTTATGCTCATTGGAGTGCCTTATTGTTTCTTTGTATGATATAAAGGCCGATGATTTCACTTATGCTCATTGGAGCGCCTGACTGTTTCTTTGTTACTGTCCATGTTCTCATCCAAATAAGGAGGCATATTTCTTAGTAATGTTAATATTTTGCCTTAAATTTATCGATCTTTTATTTTTAAATGACGTTTTCGTTGACACGAAGGTATTTGTTATGTTGTTAAGTACTGTTTACTTGTAGAGATCCTTACATGGTTGCTGTTGTGACTATTGCGAAATACATGTCTCGTATATGAAAGCGAGCCAAAGCTAAGATTTTAATCAGTCTTAGAGCCTTTAACCTGTGTGCACTGATGCATATACTTAAGAGTATTACGATATATCGGCCTTGATAATAGACCTCAGGAGGACGTTAACATGTATATTCTGGTGCCGGTGGCTACAGTGTAAACACGTTATTTACTGATCAAATACCACCATTGTGAAGGCCGCTTTGCTGGTCTCTGAACCAGGCCTGTATTGCAATCCAAATCTGAGACGCAACAATGCGACCATCGCGTGACCTGCAGGCTAACATCAATCATGTACGATATTTTAATTGTTGTAATTAAAAAAAGAGCAGTTAATGAACCAGTAATATTAGTTTTGTTTACGACTAAAATGTAACAATTGCCTTTGAGAATTCAAAACACTTTGGAAGGCTGCCGATTATTCCTGTACTTGAACAGTATTCCCCCCAGTGTTTAGGTTTTGAATCGATGTTTTTATTTCATATGTATTTACAGCATGCCTGGAAGGAATTTAGACATTTATAATTACTTTCAATAATATTTTTAGCAGATACCAAATATCCACAAGCAGTACAGATTTTGGTAGAGCTTGGTAATAGTAGTTATTAGATTTAAGGTTTTACTTAAATAATTGATGAAATATAATGCATAGACCCTGGTTCCGGTGTAGTTAAGATCATCACACTACGTGAGTCTGCCCGTGCTCTTCATCTGATTTTGCATAATTATCACGATAATTTACTCGTTCATATTTCAAGATGGTATACCAGTCATGCTAGGAATAATGAAGCTTAATTGATCTGCATTATTGTTAATTATAATGCTTTAAATACGATTATAAAACATTCGAATAGTATAGAATAACGAAGAAATCCCAATGTGTATTGAAATGCTTACTGGCGAGAAATTTTAGGACGAGTCCATATTGAAAATAAGGGTTCTTGGACTTGATATTATCTCGACGGTTATGATCTATTATTTAAATTTGCTCTGCATTGCCACTATATACCACTTCCAATGTCAGTTCCGTGTTATGAGACCATAACACAGGCGTAGTGATATCTCAATGGGACCGACTAACTACCGGATAGCTATTCCCCTCCGCACTAGCAAGCGAATAAGCAAAACACCGCACTATGATTTAATAATGATCACCGTTTTATGTAAGACTATAATAAAATGTGAATTGAATATATTGACTAATTAAATTATAGAAACGATATCGATATTTTTGATTTCATATTTCCACGATCTATTTTTTACGGGAAAGTCACGAGACAACATTCCGTGAGGCATTCCATGGGCTGTTCTACCTCTTGAAATTCGAATTTAAAATTGCGTGTTACTTAGAAATGACAATTTAAAAATGAAAAATGTAAATATAAGCATAAAACAGCATTTTGATCCGTGTTATGGTCCTATAACACGGAACAGAATGTTGTTTAATGCTTAAATATATCTATAACCATAGTGGTTGTTTTTTATCTTTTGTTTGTTTGTCAATTGATGACCGGCATAAATAGCATGGAAGTTGATAGTAGGTCGATTTAATAGCATAACATATGGTCCGATAATAAAAAGGGAAAAAAAGAAAGAAAACAACCCGATCGGGCTAAGAAGCTACAATTCTTGCAGCTAGATTTAATACGCCAACTGATTATAGTCACAAAAGAGGTCTGAGACTACTTTTTTTATTCTCGTGTGTCCTTGAAAAGATAATTGTGTAAGTCGAATTGTTTCATCAATCCATACATGATACAGAAAAACAGTACACTAACGTCGCTGACAAATTCTTAAAAAGAAAAAAATTAAGGAGAGAGTCAGGGACAGTAGATAGACCCTGAGAGAGTGTACAACTTTTCAAATATTAAAAAAATACGCTTACATTTTGCGATATGAAGCTTTCCTTATTATTTTCCAAACAACAACAAACAAACAAAACACAAACCACTGCTTACCTATTATTTCACTTACTGGTAAAGGTAATTAATTCTAAGTAACTTTTTATCGACGGGCGACGAATTTGTGATGTTTGTACTTTAATTTTCTGACCACAGATTAACCGAAAATTAACTTCAATGCGAAATATACTTCTGATATTGTCTAGATCACTTCGGGTTCGTGATGTTTCGGGTAGTTGGATATATTAGGTCGGAATTATGCAGTGCATTGGACGATTCCGAGAGTAAACGAAATTCGGAATCGTGGAATACATCGGGTGAATAGGAGGGTTGGGTAGATTGAGGCAAAAATTGTGAAATCCAACTGATAATTCGGAGAGCTAATTATGTGGTAGATATTGTGAAGTACACGAAGTGTTTTGGCACGTTGGGTGCATTCAGATAGAAAGTGAAAAATGCTTGGGATGATTCGTCTAGTTGGCTATATTTAGGTACATGTAGCTACATGTATATGGGGAGGTTCATAAGATGATTCAAGAAGAGTAGGAATTGTGAAAAACATTGGATGATGTGGCGAGCTGAGAATATTGAGGTAGTAAAGCATATTGAACGAGTCGGCGAGTTGAGTATATTGAGACAGGGACGGTGAAGAATAATAGAATCTTTCACTCCCTTGGGGTGAGATAGGAGAATCTCAACCCGAGGGGAGGATTCTTAAGTTGCCAAACACGAGGCTCTGCCGAGTGTTTGGCAACTTAAGAATCTTTCCCCGAGGGTTGAGATTCCCCTATCTCACCCACAAGGGGGTGAATGATTCTATTTCTCTTATCCTGGTCTCCCATTGTGTATCATATACACAATGTAATGATAACGTCACATATGCTAAATTCAGGGTTGACATGACGTTGATGGATTGTTGACGTGACGTCATTTTTTGTTTAAGTGACGTCATGCCATTGTTATGAATAGGGAAATCCCCCCGTCTCAACCCTAGGAAATCTCACATCGGATACACCTGTCCAGGGTAAGAGAACATTGAATCAATCGCCGAGTTGGCCATTTTGAGGCAGGGATAGTAAAGAATTTTGAGTCGGCGAGTTGGGCACATTGTATCCCGAGTTTCCGCTGGCCCTAACACCAGACTTACACATTTTGACATATATATGTCCCACACCAGACATCTATATATCAAAATGTCTAAGTCTGATGTAAGGGCCAGCGGAAACTCGGGCTAGGCATATTGAGACAAGAATGATCAAGGATATCTGCACAATAAAAATCGCAGACGGAAATGAATTAGTGCTATCCGTTCGTGTGTATCTCTCGTCGATATAACGACTTGATGTAATCAAATTTTCTATTTGAAGCTATGTTAATTTTGTTCATGTTAATGTAAATTAGAAATATAAGCAATCACTTTGCGACTTTTCTACATGTACATGTCTATGTATGTATTTCACTGTGTTTTTCTGTTTTGCATTCAAAATGCTTTGTAGTTACAAATGTGCAAATACAATTTTGAATTTGAATTTGAATTTGAATTTGTATAGAACGTTTATCAATACATAGTATGACTCCATACCATATGATGTATTTCTATCGCCAGAAATGTTAAACAAAGCAAGGTACAGGTGGGTACATAGATAACGACTGATACTGCTCGAGTTATCATCGCGTCCTACATTTCTGGTCAACTTCATCATCCTGCATTATAAATTGATAGATTTCACATTTCCATAAATACACGTACAGGTTAAAACTGAATTTTTTATAAGGATTTCTGACAAATGCATATCACAGTGGACTAACTCAAAACATGATTTTGAAACGATGCAATATACTTATACAATAGAAAAATGACGACCAATAGTTCGTGTTAAGCTGTTGTCCCTTATCATGGGGTAGATATAAATATAGATAATGCCCATCCTGATCTATATCTCCTTCATTTGTACACAACCCACATAGAACCAGAATGGCGATCATAACCTATCTACTCCTCTTTGTAAGCGTGCTTGTTGGTAAGTTCTGTCTTATTGGACGAATATTTGTATTAAACAGGCCCCCTGTTACTAGGTCTGAAACCTTATGTAAATATTGTACGTGATATTATTGTACCTGGCACGCTTACTGTCCTGACAGGTGCCCAGGCCGAGGTTTGCTGGTACTGGGATGATATCCTAGATGAAGAGGACAGTATCATATGTTACTCCGGTTGCTGTGGAGATGATTGTTGCGATGACTACTGGTAAGTCTAATTGCAACACTAACGTTAACTGTTCAATTATACAATATTAACGTCAAAGTGATCATATTACGTTCAGTATACGGACATGTCATTAAATTGGATCAACCCCGAAATTACCGTTGCTTAACCATGTCCATAGTTAATGTTTCAGACAGGGTTGATACAATTTCGAATGATACTACATGTACATGTACTATAATAACTTCAGTTCTATAAACAGTCATATATATATAAAATGTATTGTGGTTGTCAGGTCTGTACTCATTCCTATGGCAAAATCCATCCAATGAAAATCAACATCTGCTTCAAACTGTATCTTGTCCTTAAAATGATGCCATTTTGATGTTAGGTCCGACGGCAGTATCGCTGGAGCAACCGTCGGCAGTATCATTGGTTCAATCATCCTCCTCTCTATTTTCATCGCAATTTTAAGAATATGTTGCGCTGCGTCCCGAAGAAGTTCTGGCGGAGTTATCGGTCGCCGTGTACCAGGCGCTACCCAAGTGGTCACTGTGTCCAGTACCAGTAAGTATGATTCATGTCTTGTGGTCACTGTTGTTGGTATTGGTAAGTTGGTCACGTGGGCAGCTGTTGACACCATGTGTTAGTAGACCAGGTTTAGTTGACATTGTGACTGGTTTTATCAGCAAATGTATATGTGCGGTCTTCTCCAAGATGGCCACCGTGAACATAGACTCTGATAGTATAAGATATTTCAGCTGCGATAACGTAGCTTCTGACGACGAGACATTTTTTTTCATATTGCGCCGGTTATTAATATTAGTACTAAAGATATGTGTGTCTTTATGTAATTGTTTTTTTCTTTTTTTCTCAGTCATTTTCAGAGGCAGGGTATCTCAGGCTTAAAAGGTCCACTTAAAGGTACCAATTACGTCCCCAAAAGGGGAACCAAATTGAAATGATGAAAGATATGTCTACTGAAAATATATCTTTAGTACCACGATGTAATGAGGCACGTGAGTTTGACATTTTAAGATTAATAATAAATCATTAAGATTTGTTTTCTCTCCGACAGACACAGCGAATAACCTGGTTGCCACTCCCTACGTAAGGTACCTTCAGGCTACACAGATGACAAATCCAGTGGCACCCCCGGCCTACGAACAGGTCGTTCAGGACGGAGCGCGGAGCGGAGTAGTCAACCCAAACTATGCCTACGGTCCTCCAAAATACTGAGGGAATAAAGGCATTGGCTGTATCACTAGAAAGCTCTACTTTGAAACTGTATTTTATACAAAATCATGCGAACAAATTAACAAACTGTATCCCATTAACAGTGTCGTTGAAACTGACCTTGTCATTATTCTGAGTTTCTTAGAAACCTTATTATATAGATGTTCAGAGGAAATAACAAATGTGGACATAAATCATTTACCTTCTAATTTATTGAGAAATGAGAACTCTTTAATTATATGAAGTTGAAATATACATATTGCAGTAGCTTTGTACGTCATAAATAATCTTGTAAAATCTACCCTCTTGTCTACTTCATTAAATGTTACTAAGATATTTTAAATTGTCGTCTTTCTTCTATCCCCGATACTCCAGGGATTACGGTCACATTCGCTCTCTGCACCCCTGGAATATGTCATAGCAAAACCGTAGGCTAAGTGTGCACCGCCTTGTGGATGAGACGAGAAGGCTAGTTTGATCCTTTGATGCACATCAAAAGAATCTCGCTGTCGCGTGATGGTAAACTTATTAGGTTTGAAGTCGGGCGTCGCTCCTATGTAATCATCAAAGGACAAGTATCAGCCTAGTGATTGATCAGGGTTTTTTTTAATTTTGCTAGGACATATTCCAGGGGTGCAGAGGGCGAAAGTGAGCGTTACCTCGGCCCTGGATATCCAGGATGTCTTTCTTCACGCAAAGGATTAACTGGCCACAGGTACTAGCCTCGTCTGTCAATACACCTATGATAATTTATTTTAGTATAGGTGTATTGACAGACGTGGCTAGTACCTTTACCTATGCACTTTTTCATAGACAGTTGACTACGTACGTGTATGCTTATGCTCTATTCAAAGTTTGGGAATCAGATGGAGCATTTTTGAAGTCATTTGTTCTCCCTATATGGATATAAACTGTGATTAAGCTGTTTCTACTTGAAATACTTAATGAACATGATTCATTGATTATGCTGCCGTATTTTGCATGGATGGAATGGTTTCACACGCGTTATTGGCATAAGATTTTTTTTTATTTTTTTTTAAACGGTGTAACAAACGGACATTACGTTGACTGTAGTAAGTCTGAGGTTATACATTTTTGTCCTCCTAGCCAACATTTGACAAGCCACTTTTGCCATCTTGATAACCAGGAAAGTAATGTTGTGAAAAAATGGAAAAGCATTCCCGTTTGCTTTGATCATACAGCCTCCTATTTTTAAAACAGCGATTTAAGAGTTTATCGAAAACGGCAACCCGTTCACTTACAAGTATATCAACTAAGCTGTATGGTCTATACATGTAATTGATTATAATGCTATCAAATCTTTGACAAGCCTATTCTTTAATAATTAAAAGGCAATGCGATTTGAAGTCAGAAAGAACAAAAAATCGCTAATAACATTAAAACTGTGCAATGAATATGTGTAAGACGAGGTGAAAGGGAAAGGTTGAGTCAGTCTGTTTAAAAATTGTGGTATTAACAGAGACGTATATAACACAATAAGAATGGCTTTATACGTCTCTGGTATAATTACCTATGTCGACGAGAAAAAATATGGAATGCTGAAAACCCACAAAAGCTGATAACCTTAACATTACCACGGAATTAGATTAGAGGGAAAGGCAACTGCCTCTTCGGCATAGGAAATATGTGCCATGCACTTTGATATTGCGAGAAACTGCGAGAAAGCGTGAGAATGTACGTGATTTGGGGAAAAAACGCCGCTTCAATCATCGAAGAAATTGATTGCCGTTCAGAAGTGATACATTTTGGGCTATCTGTACCGTTACATTGTCCCGATTTCAAAGTAAGTGAATTTTGCTATACTTCTGTTTAAATTTAATAATGTTTGTTGTGTCGAATACCAGAGAAATGTCGCAGAATGCGAAAGTTTATAGTAAACATACAGCGTTGCCAACTTGAATTATTTTATGGCTTCACATCCGCCATCGAGATCTACTTATCTTGCTAATAAATAGATTATTTTGACATACGGACTAAACCAAATTGTTCATTTATATGTTTTCTATTGCAACCTGTGATTATAAGTGAACCCATATCTCTGATTTTGTAGTAATTGTGTTCTGAAAACGGTTGTTAATCCGTGTGTTTTTAATAATGGCCACCATTTTGCCTTAGATTACCGATCGCGGGTGGGTTCATGAATGCATGTAATTCTCGGTAATTGATCAAAAAGTTGTAATGATTTGTTTACATTATTACAATCTGGTTTATTATCATGTACACAAAACGGTTTCAATCGCACTGACGATCTAGAAAGTGTATTTTTAAGGCTCTGAATATAGACCAAAATTCATCGTGATGCAATAGCGTGTGATTTCACTTCCTTCGTCGTCTTGCATTTATTTACCCGCCATCGAGATCTACTTATCTTGCTAATAAATAGATTATTTTGACATACGGACTAAACCAAATTGTTCATTTATATGTTTTCTATTGCAACCTGTGGTTATTAGTGAACCCATACCTCTGATTTTGTAGTAATTGTGTTCTGAAAACGGTTGTAAATCAGTGTGTTTTTAATAATGGCCGCCATAATATATATTATGCATATATGCAGGAATGCCTTAAATCAAAGGCCTATCTGCTTGTTGACAAATCCCTATTATTCTCAACGATTAATTGTATATTTTGAATTATTTTTTTCAAATTGTTGAATAACAAGGCCAGTGTTAAATTGTTTTCATAGTTTCCTACGTACTGATACATAGAAAATCAGTTTATTTAGTCTTGTCTGATCTATCATTTTAAATCATGTTGATTCGTTCACTCTCCTCAAGCTTTCTTGGTTTTACACATGTACCATTTTGCCGATCCTTCATCTGTAAGAACGTTTAGTAATGTCACGGACTTAGATAACGCCTATCGTGCAACTGACCAGTGGGGTCATTGCTGGATTTGGGTCAGTCGTGTGATTTAATCAGTGTCGATTTCTTGTGTAAAAAGACCACCTTCAGTACAAATAACAAGGTGATACGGTTCACAGTCTAAGGTGATACGGGTCAAATAAGCTGATACGGCAGGAAGGATTTCAAACTGAAGCTGATACGGAGCCGGATCAGCTAAATGGCCTTGAGAATAATAGGGATTTGTCAACAAGCAGATAGGCCTTTGATTTTAGGCATTCCCGCATATATGCATATGACGGCCATTATTAAAAACACACGGATTTACAACCGTTTTCAGAACACAATTACTACAAAATCAGGGATATGGATTCACTTATAACCACAGGTTGCAATAGAAAACATATAAATGAACAATTCGGTTTAGTCCGTATGTCAAAATAATCTATTTATTATCAAGATAAGTAGATCTCGATGGCGGGTGTGAAGCCATAAAATAATTCAAGTTGGCAACGCTGTATGTTTACTATAAACTTTCGCATTCTGCAACATTTCTCTGGTATTCGACACAACAAACATTATTAAATTTAAACAGAAGTATAGCAAAATTCACTTACTTTGAAATCCGGACAATGTAACGGTACAGATAGCCCAAAATGTATCACTTCTGAACGGCAATCAATTTCTTCGATGATTGAAGCGGCGTTTTTTTCCCCAAATCACGTACATTCTCACGCTTTCTCGCAGTTTCTCGCAACATCAAAGTGCACGGCACATATTTCCTATGCCGAAGAGGCAGTTGCCTTTCAATACTATATTGAAACATGACATGTGGTGTGTACAAGCTCGACAGGTTGGTTTGTTACGAACTTTTTACACAAATTCCCTCTAATCTAGTTCCGTGGTTAAAGGATAAAAATCGGTACATGGGAAAAGAATTAAGATAAGCGACATTATCAATAATAATAATAATTAATTAATAATTGGAGGTTCTTATATACCGCTTTATCACAACCTAGGTCGACATCATAATAAGTAGGTTCCACTCTAGAACAAACATATCCTATAATATAGCAAAGATATATTTTCACAAAATAAAACAGTAAACAGGAACACTGCGTTTTTAAATTGAATAAATGTGTAACAAGTTTGTAACAAACACAAGATAAAACGGTGTGCATAACACTTCGTTATTAATTGGATAAACGTGTAAAAAGTTCGTAACCAACCTGTCGAGCTTGTACACACCACATATCATGTTTCAATATAGTATTGATAAAATAACTCTTGTGATGTACACGTTTGATAGCGAAAACATCGCACTCCATCTTTTGCCGGTCAGAAAACGGTGCGATTCCCTATGACTCACAAATATGGTTCAACCCCACAAATAGACTGACTTCATCGAAATCCGGGTGATCGGGCTAAACCAATGTTCCACTAAGGGAGATAAGGTTTTGCGGAAATTACAGGTAAACCGCGGCGGTGACCTTTGGCCTCACCCAGCCAGCGTTTGACGGGTTGCTAACGTTATCAAAGCTTGGTTAGCTTTACACTTCTTTTCTTTTGTTAATATATTGGTCCTTTTGATATATTTTGTGTTTACAATAGACTCTACTGGAATGGATAAAATGTCAAAACAAGATTTTTATCCTGACGGAAAGAATTAAGAGGTCAGAAGTAAAATGTCAGGCTTTTTTGCAGTGGTAAACAGTGTGACGGGAACTGAACTGTAGTTAGGTAGGAACACTACAGTAAGTAAGTCAGAGGAAACCATCTGCTTCGGGGAAGAGTGCGGGAAGCACAATTTCAGCAAGCACAGCATCGTCAGAAAATTAATCAGAATATTTTTATTAATTGTATACTCATAAAATACATGCATTGTTGTATTTTTCACGTACATATGACTAGTTAAGAAAGTATCGAAGTGAATTTTTATCTTCAAATTGTTGAAGTTGGTCAGTACTATTTAGAATGCTTTCTCTGCCTATAAGTTGGCGAACAACAAAATGGCGTCACTACGGCATGAATGAAAATGCTAGGAGTCGCTGTCAAAAACATTTGCATATGAATGAAATGTGAATGAATGAAATCCATGTAAGGAGAGATCAACTACCATATAAGGACAGAAAGACCATATATAGTCATAGATGGTGTGTGTGTAGAAAATGCAGTTCCACGTTAAGCAAATTTCGTAGTATGCGCGATCCCCTAGCGTTACCTAACGCATATGTGTCAAAAACGGTGATATATCTCATTCATGAACCAGTCATTTTTGTAGTCTGACAAACGTACGAAAATGTCGTATGCAAATGAGGCCACAACTCCTCGCCGATTTTTTTTCCACTTCTGAAGAGCTAATGAGACATTCTTATATCGATAAACACTCAAACAGACCCTTGAAACATTGAATACAGAACATTTGTACTTGTTCATTGAGAAAGGACCAGTATTGGATTACAGAAACAATAATGTAAAAAGTGTTTTCAAGTAAAATTCCAAATTGTTGCCTTTTTGGACTTTGCGCATCCCATCCAAAATGACAAGCCAAAGAAATATGATAAAGTAAAAGTAAAACCTGTATTCAGAACTAAAGGTCTGATCTAAAGCATATACTTTATTACAGGATAAATATAGACTTTTTTTCAGTGTTATATTAAACACTTCAAAATGGAAGTATGTCTATGATCTTGCTTAAATTTTCCTCCCACTGGCAAGCCTTCCAGATTTTAGATCACTGGTTCTATGAGGCATTATTTAGCACCCCCACCCCCACCCCCTTTACATTCTTGCAAAATATATGACTCTCCAGGGGCTTATGTTAACAAAATGTTATTTAAATAAAAAGATTGATGAATGATAGATGCCACAACATATAGGGTCACAGGCACTTCCTAACAGATGATCTAAAAAAAAGGTTGAATACTGATGGAGGACGAATGCTGTCCCGTACTGTATGTTTGAAGTTGAAAATCTTCGAAATTAGGTTAATTAGCCTCCAGGATATCAAAACTTCTAGTCACCAGTGGAGTAAGAGGTGATACCTGGGTATTGTTATTTTTATTAAAATTTAAATTAAAAAAATAAATACTGACTGGAAATTTTTAAGTAAGAAAACGAACATTCTCAAATATTTAGAGTTCACACCTACAAAGCATTGATATGCTGAGGACTGATCCAATGATTGATTTACCAAACATCCCTGACCTGGAGAGGAACACTTCTGAAAATGTGCTCTTGGTAAGAAATGTTTTATATAATACCATTCAAAGTTTGTTCATTGATAGCGGGTAAGTTATAATTAGTATGAGACATTAACACTATTATTACAATGAACAGTGCACTCTTTTTTTCAGCTGGAATTTTTGTTCATCATACATTTTAGACAGCTGTCTGTTAAGTAAATTGTACTATGATTTTATATTAAAGTGAAAATAATAAAAGAAAAATTACACAATGTTTTTGCTGTAATTGTAAAAATAACACTGAATATCAAGTCAGTCTCAGACTTTGTTCATTATGCAATCACTATAACTTGCTTACATTTTCTAACCAAGTTGGGGTTGTTAAAAACCAAGGCAGTAACGAAGCATGGTCCAAGGTTAAATGTCCTATCAATTCCTAAAATTGCGCCGTTTTTGGTACAAGCGGTTTTCATATCCGTCAGCTGGTTGTCAGTATAAAGGATAACTGAAGGGGGTTTCCCTTTTGTAACCATCACTTCTTGTATGAAATTGCTGTCATGGATTTCATTGAGAACACTTAAAAGTCCGTCCGCCGTATTCTGACTATAACTGCTTGGTTGGTTGTTGTCACGTTTTTTCTTATGCAAAAGATACTTGGCATTCTGAATTTGCTTAAGGTCTCTGGGTTCATTCATAGAATCGTCCAGTGACTTAATGTCGTCTAGAATGGCTTTCGAAGTCTGTTTGTTAACTAACCTATCGTGGATTGCCTCCTTTGTAGCGAGGGTTGCGCGCTGATGCTCTTGTTTTGTACGTTTAGAACGGCCGTGGATAGAGGGTTCTGAAGGAAACAATCCTAAATACTCTGCAATAGCAATGTTCATCGCTTCATCGCCAAACCCTGGCATTCTGTCGAACCAAGTTATACGTTCTGTAAATCGTATGAATTAAATTCACGATAACTCAATCATTTTTCAACAAATCAAATTAAAATTTGGTATATAGTTGTATCATAGTCATAAGAATAACATATCTCATGATGTCGCTTACTTTATCAATTATTTTAAGAGGTAAAGTCTGAAGACGCTTCTTGATCTGTACAGTTTTATTAACACACGTGTGCCAAGCCGACGATAGTAAAATAATAAATTCACGATAACTCGGTAATTTATTCAAATATCTTCCTGCAGTTTGGTATAAGGGTGTATCATAGTTATATGAATAACATATCTTCTGATGTCGCTTACTTAATCGATGAATTTTAGAGATATGTTCTGAAGACGCTTCTTCATATGTTGAGTTCTATTCACACACGTGTGCCACGCCGCCGATCGTAATAATAAATCAATTATAACTCGGTCATTTTTTCAAATATCGAGCTGAAATTTGGAATGTATATCAGTAAAAGTCTAACTAATAACATATCTTCTGATGTCGCTTACTTTAGCGAGTAATTGTAACGATATTATCTGGCGACGCTTTCTTCACTTTACATGCGAATACACACATGTGCCACGCCGCGATCGTAAAAATTCAATTCATCATAACTCGGTCATTTTATCGAATAATGAGCTGAAATTTGGTACAGAGGTGTATCATAGTCATATTAACAACATATCTTCTGATGTCGCTTACTTTATTCGGTATTTTAAAAGATTTTGTCTGGCGACGCTTGTTGTCACTTGAAGACGCTTGTTGTCGGTTGAAGACGCTTTTAAGGAGCACCGATTATAACTATGATCACAAAACATACTTACCTATTATAAATAAAGGTAAGCTGTACATTTCTAACACGAGTAGTAACAAATGAAATATGCAGACCACATTTTCAAAATAGACACACGGAAACATATGACGGCTACTTCCGACGGGAGAAATTTGTAAAAATTGTTTGTTCTGATTTTTTTTAATAGTTTTATGTTTCTATTAGTAGACTGTGTACATGTGTATGGCAGTCTTCCGTAATTTCAACAGTTTTCTGCCGATATGAGTACGAAATGAAACCGGAAACCCGAGGATACTATTAAAATCACAGGGACCTTCGATGATTTGTTACAGCTATATTTGGACCTAAACTAAGGTGTTCAAAGTAATTTTACATGTTTTAGGGGTTTAGATCGACTTTTGGTAAAAATGACATCCCCAATATGATCATATACTGAAGGAGAACTCTCGATGTCAACCCCGTCTAACTTTCTTGTAAGTAACATGCGTTGAATTTAATTAAGTGTGTTTCAAGTGAATCCATAGCTCTGAAGATGTAAGTATTTGTATTCTGAAAACGGTTGTTAATGGCCGCCATTAAGCCTTAGATAACCGATCGCAAACCTTGATCCACTACCACGGACTAAGATAATCTATTCTAATGCCGTGCCACTACTTATAAAAACAACATATATTCATATGAAGAGAATTGAGTTACCTCCCATATGTACTTCCTGCTCATACAAACTTCCTGTTGAAAGGTAAACAACACGGTAAAAAATACGGTTAAATACAACTTAAACTGTCATTTCCATCCAGCTTAGAGGCCTTTAACTCTGTGGATCCATTCATAGAGAAGTAATATTTCTGGAAAAGTGTTGATTCGCATACAAACAAGGAATTGGAAAATAAATTAATGTTTCAGGGTTTCAGGGTCATGACCATGATGATGATGATTTCCTGGTTTCAGAACGAAAGTAGAAATTTAAAGTAATCAGTTTGTCTGTTATTTCAGGGCTCAATTAAATATTTTGATAACATTTCATACTGCAGTTTATTTGACAATTTACTCACTGCGTTCATGGGGTTGTATCAAATGTCTGATATACACGCTTATAGCTATACTGTGTGTTGTGACCCATATCTATGTGTATTTCAGACATTTGTAACGAACCACTGTGCCTCGTTTGGACTAATGTCCCATTTGTTTGAACTTAAATGTATAAATGGCCACGCTTGTTTTAATTTTTATTGTGATCATGGTCTTATAATGACAAGGCTAGATGATATGCTGTGATCAGTTTGAATCATGGTTCAATTTTTCATGTCTCTGTTTATATATATGTAGCAGGAAGCAGAATAGGGTGCTTCTACTGGGGACCGAACCCTCGATCTCCAGGTTCCTATTCAGACGTTCTACCACTGAGCTAAAGGGAAATTCCCTCTAGCTCGAAACTAGAAGGCAGCCATAAGCCTACATGTACAATTAAAACCTGCCACATATATATAGTCTCCCATGCATCTATATGGTATGGTCTAGTGGTCAAACACCTTTCTTTCTCAGCTCTGATCTTTTACTTACAAGCATGGAATTAGTTATGCCGAGGTTAGGGCCTCTTGAGGGTCTCTCTGTCAACACTATATATTATACAATAGATATTTTACTCTCACTCTGTCTCACCAATTCATTCATTCATTGGTTCATAACTATTTTCAACTTCTATTCAAACGATTCTTCCACACATCAAACTATCAAAATATACGACACGATGATATTGTGATTACGAAATGTATAAGTATAATAATGTTTATTTAATTAACTTCATTTGGACATATTCAACTGTACATGTGTTTCAATGTGATTACATAGAGTATTGGCATGGATACCAAGTGTGAAAACTAACTTTTAAGTTTCTCCAAAAATTTTGCAAGTGATCTAAATTTTTGCTCTATATCTTATCCTGGTAATTATTTGCTTCAAGTTTGTATTAAGTTGAACTTCATCAAATATTATTATAATATGAATGAACATCAATAAATGAAACTGAGAATGAAAACTTATTAAAGACAATCAATGATGTTTACCGGGTATTTATAGAACTATAAGGATATCTTTCAGACAACATCTTGGCGATTATAACTATTGTATTCTCTTCAAAGAAGGTAAGTTAGGGATATTTTAACTAGCATATTCTTAAAATTAACATGCATTTTGCTAGCAGATGTATGATAGTTTTGGTAAGTTAGGGATATTTTAACTAGCATATTCTTAAAATTAACATGCATTTTGCTAGCAGATGTATGATAGTTTTGAACCATATGATCTCTCATGTCCCTGTTTGTATTGTATGTTTCATTCTGTCGTGCCAGGGACAGTACCTCACTATATGTCCCTGGTCGTGCCTCCTATTAAGGTCGTGCCTCCTATTAATTGCACAATACTAATTTTGCTACATGTTACATTTCAGAAGTGTATATAGTGTCTTAGCTGAAACAAACAGACTCACATGTTAGCTGAAAGTCATGTGGACCTCCTCTATACACCGGGCCCGTGTTGGACCAAACCTGTGGGACATTGTCTCATTTGTCCTCATTCCACTGGCCTGGGCCGGTGAGAGTACTACAGGTGAGATTCTGAATTATCTTCCTCACATCATTGTGACGAACAATGGAAAATCAAATAAAAGAATACAGTATTTGACCTTATATTCATGAATAGGCACCTTGGCAATCGGGCAAAAGCCATTAAAGGAAAATTAATGACTGAAGCGCTAGCACTTTCTAAAATATTATAAATAAAAAATGCCTTGAAGTTGGATGGGACACTGATCACATGACCACAATAAGGATAGAGGGTCCCTATAATGAAGACTTGTTCTGATTTCATGTGGATTGATCATGGTACATGTATCTCAAAATCTGTTTGCTAATTACACACATGTATGTTTCACACAGACAACTTACCTGAGAGGTAACCTCATAAAATCCATTCATGGCAGAAACAAATGTCATAATAAGGGGGGCCCCACCTTTGACCATATCATAATAAAAGATTTTTGTTTGCTTAGTTAAAGAAGGAAAATCGGTACATGGGAAACATTTCATAATAAGCGATATATCATAATAAGTGGGTATCACTGTATATAGATATATATAATATTGATAATTAGAAAAAATAAACAGAAGAAATGATATTCAACAACGCAAGAACAGTTTGATGTTCTTTCAATTAAATTTTATTAATTAAATGATTGTGCTGCTTTTAGTTTAGGAATCTTATACTTATCAATAGCCTGTTGTTAAGGGATATTAAAATAAAACTTTTTGATTATTATATTGGAGACTACATAATGTTTTAATAATCAAATGAAGTGGAAGTATGAACAAATTTTACAAAGGAAAGTACTGCATTTGGCAGAGGACATTGTGATGTTACGATTGAAATGACATCATCAAGTGAATATTGATCTTCTGTTTCTAAAATTAGTAACACTGAGTTCATAACACAAATTACTGACCTCCACATGATTATAATCCAACTAAAAAGGAATAGAAAAGACGTGTCATCGAATATAATGAAATCATTCAACATGTATTTTTTTGCAGTAACAACAGACAGCTGTGGCACATACATCAAGTTAGTGACAGGAAGTCATGCCATACACTGGCAAGGGGACGTCCTTAGAACCGACTGTACCGTCTACATACAAAATGAGCCGACCTATGAAAACACCTTATGCGCCGAGGCCATGAAGTATGATGTGAAGGATAAACGCTTCATTCTCACCTTCCTGTCGGGAACTTCATACAATGAAGACACAAAGGTAGATGACTTAAACTTGACAAGCTATATACATGTAATCATACAAAATCGTTTATAGAAAATGTCTATTAACCTACAAAAGAATATATAATATATGAATCTAAGAACATATATATATATGTATAGCGATAAATAGTTTTAAATGTCCATGTGACGGTAAAAATATAAATAAAGCAAAACACGAAGACTGGTATAATCAGCTAGCGCTTTACCCATCTACATCAGTTTTCAAGATATTATGATTTCACTAGTTTGTACACTTCCATGGAGATCATATATTCACCTCGTTTTCATATATTAAAGTATCGCACAAGATGTAACATACTACATGTATATGACTGTCATTACAATAATGCCATTCAGTGAGGATTGTATTGTGTTAAAAACTTTGCATATGTAAGATTGTTTGATCTTTTGTCTTTCAAGTGATCTTGTAAGGCATAGACAAGATTTGTTCTGGTATACCATATATATTACTTCAACTTTTCTGTATATTCTGCATAAATTTGTAAGCAAAGTAGATTGATGGGTTTTATTTGTTAAGTTTCTTTAAGGTAATCGCTACATATGCCCAGTCTTTCATTTGTTAGAATGTACTAATTGAAATGTCCATTTACTTTGTTAACAGTACTTTACAGCTTTTGAAAACAGGGACAACATATCCTACTGTGCTAGAAAACAGTTTACCCTAGCACTGAATTTCTCTACCGGTACTAACAAGTCAGACTCACATGTATATCTCAAGATAACACGGACACCGGTACCATTTAACGCAGGTGAAAGTGAGTACTTTTTTGTCTGCACTGTTAACTTTAATAAGTGAGTTTAAAAGCCACAGATAACAATATTTCATGTGTACATGTGCATGGGTAAGTATGAGTTCATAGAATGTAAGCGTATTTTCTTGACCACCAGATTAATCACAAGTGTGGCTAATATTTATAGGAGGATATTCTCGATACTCATGTAAGCATCAGTGATGGCATATTGGTTGAATGTTGATGCAAGTGTTGAAATTCATTTTCAATTATTTGAAAGAAGAAAAAAATGAGGAAATGCACCTACAAATGTTCCCTTTGCCCTGGATCCACATGTCAGAATATTGATCCCTCTAATATGACTAAAGGTGATATTACATGTATATGTATAAATGTACATGTAGCAAAAATGTATGTAACTTAAGTAAAGATGTACGATAAGTCAAAACAACCACTTATTCTTACAGTTCCATTGTTTCATCTCTATTTTTAACAGAAAATTTGCAGCTTTGCATATAAATAGAAAGGGCTGTTTTGATTGGTCACTAATAAGGTATTTTTGAAACTGTGACAAATATCTTCTTTATCACAATTTTATCAAGTTGATAGGATTTCACTAGCAAAAGTGTTATAAACAATATTACCACACTGTATAACAGCTCCCATATGTGATAATATATGTTTTCCTTGCTTTAAGATGAAGGATTATTACCTAGGGAGCGGTTACCACAGGTAATGTACAGGCTGATGGGAGGCATTGGGTCCGCCATCATGGTCGCACTCCTGGCTTCGGTTCTCGTAAAACGGCGACGTACAGCTAGGAATTTAAACTTTGGTAGAGGTGGTATCGTCATCAGAAGAGCTAGTGAGACCAATGATGAACAACGGGGTGAAGAAATGGTTGCTCTCAACCAATCCTCACAGAACAATCCTGGCACCTTCCCTGAGGCAGGTGTACCAAATGGATATAGTGGACCATATCCTATGTACCCCACACAGCAACCGATAAGGCCCCCTGCTTACTCAGAAATTCAAAGTAGGTGACAGAGAAGTTTAACTGATGAGTAATTATAAAATAAAGAAGACATGATGAAAAATGCATGTTTTAATATCAAATGTATGTTTTGATATTACCTATATTATTATGTAAGTCTGCCTTAGAAATTGACAGAAAATTAGAAAGTTGACAGTGTTTACTGAAAATTGTTTACAATTTGTGCTTGTAATGACAATAAATGTGTATTCCATATTTGTTTAACACAGCTTTGGATTCCTCCTAATATATTCTAATTAACTGGTTGACGGTTATGCAATTTTCAGTGTTAAAGCAACATGTAGAAATGTTGATTTAAATGAAGAGGAAATGTACTTCTTACACTTGTTAGAATGATGTATAACTTTGTATTTCTTCAGAAATAGTTAATCATATAAGTTATCAACATAGTTGTGAGGATGCCCCTCTCGTGGTACAATATTTTATGGGAACGTTACGAAGTGCTAAAAATCTTAGTACAATGTACTTAAATATTTTACAGGTGATCCAGCAAATTTCAAGCAATATCCAGATTCAGCTCCACCAAGCTATGAAGATGTTGCTGACAGCAGAACAGATTACACAAAAACTGAGCCAAACACTTCTAATAAATAAATTTGTTCTCTCTGACATTTTACTTCTACATTGTATAAATTACGTTTTTACTTTTGATGGTGTTTTCAAGGTTATTGCTTAAATTTTATATTTTTTTTAACCCTTGGATTGTTGTTAAAACGCACATTTTTTAATATACTGAACATACAAATGTAAAACTGCAGGGACAGATCTGGAGTGTTTGCAAAGTAAACAAATATGAAATCAAAATGTTAACATTCACTCATAATATTTGTATGGACTGATATGTGTTTAAAAAGTTTATATGATCTCTCCTTGAATCAGTACGTAATTTATCTGTTTGCAATTGAAATCATTCACATGAATGATTGACTCCACCACTGTATCTTCCCATTCAGTCTCCCAGAATGCATTTAGGTTGCAAGGAACCCTAGTGCTTGGAGACACTGTTTATCTTCTTGAAGTACTAAATTACACAGTTCTGATATAACACATTATACATCAGATTACCTGTATTAAACAATACTCAACATTGACAATAAGAGACGGGAGCTTTGCATAGACACAGAAGCTGGTTTAACATATGGTAATATTTACTATGTAAAAGAATAAATATTAACTTGACAAAATTTGTTATCTTTTGAAAACAGTGTAGATTTTTATTAATTGAACCTGGATGATAAACTTCAAATTTATCAGAAATTGATGTTAACACTTACCTGATGTGTAAAGGTACATTTCTTGTGTTTGTTTTAATATGAAATTGTTGGATGCCCATTTTTTGGGCCGGACTTCAGAGTCTCCGTATACACTAATTTGATATTGGGATTGGCTTAGTAAATAAAGCTTGACTGATTTTGAAAAAGTAAGCAAGAACTGGTGTCATAATTTTCATATTTATCAGATTACTTGTCTCATTGTATGTTATCCCTGTTGTCTTTAAAAAAATGCTCAGGTATTAAAGAGGTGAAGGATGAAAGTACATCGCATAATCATGTAAACTATAAATGCCAGTAAGGATTGTAAGTCATTGGAGCGGGACACAATTTATGTCTGGTGGAGTAATTAGATTAATTCTATTAATCTTCGACTAAAGCATTTAATGTATCATACACTGTATGAGAAGAGTATAACGGAAACTGTAACGGGAAAGAGAGTAGTACTGTGCTTCCACCGGGGATCAAACCCGTAATCACCAACTTCCTAGTCAACGCTCTACCACTGAGCTAAAGGGAAAATCTAACATGAAGCTAGAAGGTGACCAAAATCCTATGTACAATTATAATCTGCCACACTACTCCCCCTTTCTCAAAACCCAAGATATAACTTCCTTTCACCACAGGAAGAACCACAGACCCCAATTGTAATAGGCAAGAGAGTATTGTGCTTCCACCGGGAATTGAACCCGCAATCACTGACTTCCTAGTCGGACGCTCTACCACTGAACTTAAGGGAAATTCTCTCTAGCGGGAAGCTAGAAGGCAACCATAACCCTATGTACAATTAAAATCTGCCACACTTACCATAAATCTTGTCTTGCATATACATGTATTATATATTTAAAGTGTGATTACATCTACTGTCAATAAACATGTATGTCTCCTTAAATGGAGTTCAATCATGAAGTATGTTATCACAAGATTGTGATTGTTATTATTGTTTTCATGTGTTCTGTGACAGAATCATTAATCTAATAATTATGTAGATGTGATATCAATCTAATGATATCAAACTGTCAGTGTATGTGATGTATGTGACCATGTCTTACGCTGGTGACACCTGAGCTATGCTGTGACTGGAACCCCTCTTCTTCTATTTACATGTTCCATACCAATGGCCCTGCATTCCCTTCGGTATCCACACTCGGAGCAGAACACTCCAATGATTTGCTAACCTATAACTCGTACAACATTGGTTCTACTACTGAATTTCATCGCCTCTTAAACTTGTATATTGGTGTTTTCTGTCATCAGAAGACAAATTCATTGATTTTTGACACATGCGTAGGGTAACGCTGGGGTCTAGTTTAAAGTGTATATGGATTTGTGCTTTTTTTCAAAGTTTTTGCTAAGGCTGCAGTGATTTTGATTCCCTTTTTTACTTCATGACTTTTACATGCATCCTAATTACCTTCAACATAATTGGTAATTTGTGTTATAGTTAATTACTCCCTTACACATTATACATGTGGTTTGTGTAAGAATGTTTTTCTTTACACTTTTTACCTTTGATTTTTACATGTGTTTTCTCCCTTACATGTTACATGTATATCTGATAAGTCGCAAGACTTAAAGTTAATAAAGAACTTGATATCTAATTACCTGTTGTTTGGGTAAGAATGATCTACCTTACATAATATACATATGTTCTGTGTGAGTCACTTTCTTAACACAATTTTCCTGTGGTATTTGAAAGAATTTTCTTCCTTTCACTTTAAACCTGTGGTTTCTGCATGTATTTTCTCCTTTAAACAATATACATTTCCTGTGGTTTGTGTAAGAATTATCTTCCTTTCTTTTTATACATATATATCTTTTGCATAGCTGTCAATCCTCCCTCATTGGGAGGAAAACACCCTCATTTTGACCAAAATGTACCAATCTCCCTTGAAACTGTCTCATTCAAGTCCAAACTCACACAAACTTTAAATCTATATCCTGTGATCAAGTTATCTAGTTACTGTAGTGTGTGTGTAATGATCATAACAGGTGCATCTGAATCAAATAGATGCTTTTTGGAGATATTTTGATAGATAAAAAGGGGAAAATAAATTGTGTAAAGCAGTTTCAGTTGTAATTTATGCTCTTTCTCCCTGATTAGTATAAGTTGAAATAACTTGTTTCATAATTGTTGTAAAATAAACATAGTTTCTTTATTTCCTGATCCTACTCATTTTACTTGTAGTAATATGAGTTTTAGAGTTATCTTCCTTACAAAAATAATAGTATTGCTCCGTCTAGGTAGCATTTGCTCTTAATTGAACCAAATAATATAAATGACCTCTTAATAATGTGTACACAATTAATATGTGTTTTTAATCAGCATATCACATGAAACACAGTACACTTATTTTACATAATATTGTTAATGAAATATTGTTGATGACAATTTTGTCATTTGTTATAATATCAGCTATTCTTATATTGTCCAATCAAATGTTATAACATTGTTATCGATTTTCATTATAATCTATTAGAAATTATTCTACTTTTCAGAAAACAATCCCATTAATCTTGTAATGCTTTGGTTAAGTTTTTGATTTTAATATTTTGCAGTTCTCTACTGTTGTTTTCACTCCTATGTATATGTCATTAATTTGTTGGATGCTTTAAGAAGATATGTGTGCCAAAAGTTATATCTATCACCGAAAAGTCTGGCATATGTTAGGTGATGAAGAAAAGTCAGAACAGCGAGAAAAAGTTCAGTTCAAGATAAGTGCTGTTTATATTATTCATCATGACCGTTATTTCCCCTTAACTACTAAATACCCTACATGGTTACATTACGAATCTAAACTACAAATGTATTATATAAGTAAAGTTTATTTTAATTGTTTATTGATTTGCTGAAAACTTGAGTTTTAAGGATTATTTTTTAACGAGACACTCGTGCACGTAATAAACCTAACCTGAAAGAAAATTGAATAACATGTTTGGTGAATTCTATCTTAAATACTCCTACTGTTCTCGGAATTACAATTTGTTAAACATTTTATCATTATTTTATTTATGAATATTTTATCATTATTTTATTTATGACTTTCAATTTTAGGTGAATTCTATCGTAAATACTCATACGGTTCTCGAAATTACAATTTGTTTAATATTTAATCATTATTTTATTAATGACTTTCATTGTCTTGTATATGCCCAAAAAATCATTTTTAATTATCTTTTTAGTTTTTAGATGACATAGTTGATTACCTTTTTAAAATTTAAATGAAAATACAGAATAACTATTAAAACAATAAAGTTTTAAGATTCACTTGAATTACTAAATTAAGCATAAATCCATGTCATTTATCCCTCAAAGAGATATTTCTTGTTCTTTTTCAATTTTGATGATTTAGTCTATCCAGATCTTTTATGTATATCTGTTTGTTATATTTTGTCTCCTAGTTTTGTTGATAGCTATAAATAAGTCCAGAGATATTATTGTTTTACTTACATTTCACCCAGATATCATGTTGTCATGACGACATGTTATGGACATATAATGTTCATCACCGCCATCAAGGATTCATTTTTATTTATTTAACTGATGCCTACATATGTGTGACGTTTTTTAATATTTATCTACAAAATGATTTATGTGAATAATAAAAAAAATATCAATAAACCAATCAGCATTCACTTATATAATTCAGTGTAAGTCTACATACTGACAATACCTGTACACAATAAAGAATGCAAAATCACTAGTGATAGTGCGATAGTGACCTGTGCTCAGAGCTCGAGGTACTTGGAGTACAGGGGCACGCAACTGCTATTTATATTCATCTTGTTTGACTATCAGTTGCTCTGGGTACGTTATATCCCAATACAAGGGAAGACACTCGCCAAATAAAAAGTTTATTTCAATAAAGATTTCTCACATTATTCTCCAAAGATTTGTATACGGTTTTAACCCAGGTGTACAAACATTTTTCAAATTAATAAATGCACACCTGAGTAAATTGGGACATAACGTAACTAGCGACTGAGAGTCTAACAAGATCACCTTGATATTAAAAGTAGTTGCGTGGTCCAGTTGTTCAAAAGTTGGTTAGCTTAATCGCTGGTTAACGAAATGTCAACCTGTAATAATTTGGTCAATATACAAGGTAAAATTCAGAGTAAAATCCGGTAACTTTTCTCTGCTGAATATTTTCTAACTTTAAAGTTTTAATTTATCTAATAGTTGACGCATGGTTACATGAAAAACAACAACATTGTTTCCGCAAAAATATTGCTGTGTCTCCATGGATGTGAAATAATAAATTAGAGACAGATAAAATAATATTTTCTTTGCCTGCTTTTAACACAAATCTGTGATATTCTTAACATTTACGATGATATGAAAGGTACCCTGCTGCGTAGCACTTCACAAACACTTAGTTAACTTTTACATTCATTCCTGAAGTACCACGCGTGTAGCGACTATTAAAGCACCCTCATCAATGCTAATTGTGTTTAGATGTAAATGTATGTAACATGTTTTACATATTTAAACTTAGAATATAGATCTACATCCTGGGCAGCTAGTGCATCTTATTCCAAGCATCATGGCCCACTTGTATAAACCTTTTTATCTCTTGAGATTTCCTCAAGTCTAAGATTTCCCATAGACAATACATTGCTTGAGATTTTCCTTAACTTTGAGATGTGTTATACAAGTGGGCCCAGATACTGTGCTGTTCCTATCTACTATCACGGATTTCTAAGACCGTGCTACTGTGTACGTCCAGTAACTTTGTCGGTTTCTTCATAAAAATAACTTTGTCTACTGTGTCTTAACTCCTTTTCTCTAAAAGTATGAGTACAGGGGGACCTACTAAACTTGGACCATTATTAAGTCATTAGTATAGTCTATAACTGGTTGCTTGTTTCCAACGCTGAGTGAGATCACAGAAACCTGAGAATGTGTTACAGCTATATTTGGACCTAAACTAAGTTGTTCAGATTTATTTTACATGTTTTTGGGATTTAGATCGACTTTCGGTAAAAATGACACCCCCGATGATCATATATATATACGACTACACCCCTAAAGCATGTAAAATTGATCTGAACATCTTTGTTTAAGTGCAAATATAACTGTAACAAATTATCAGGTCCCTGTGTTCACAGCGGGTACCGTGAAGTTTCGTCTGTCAATACACCCATGTACTTAATCATGGGTGTATGTGATGTGTTCTTGATTTCATGTCCAGTTACTTTTTCATCAGCCTCATCTGTAATGTTTTACAATATATTTTCCAAAAGTGTCTCTGCTACACTTAACACACTATATTAAGAACAACTGAAATGTACGTATCGTATATGCTCTAGCTCTAGTTAAACGTTGTACATCTCAAACCCTGCTTCGGATGCTGTCCAGAGATATTCACTTTTCATTATTTTCCAAAAACACCTAATATGGAGCGGGGACAGTGAGTTCAATTAAATCTTAAATGTCATTTCAATATTGGTTTTTGACACATACGTTAGGTAACGCAAGTGTCTAGGGAATCGCGCATACTACGAAATTTGCTTAACGTGGAACTGCACTATCGATACATACGCCATCTATGACTGTATATAGTCTTTCTGTCCTTATATGGCAGCTGTTATCTCCTTATATGGATGTCATTCATTCACATTTCATTCATATGCAAATGTTTTTGGCAGCGACCCCTAGCATTTTCATTCATACCGTAGTGACGCCATTTTGTTGTTCGCCAACTTATAGGCAGGGAAAGCATTCACTTCGATATTCTTAACTAGCCACATGTATGTGAAAAATACAACAATGTATGTATTTTGTGAGTATACAATTAATAAAAAATATTCTGGTTAATTTTCTGACGATGCTCTGCTTGCTGAAATTGTGCTTCCCGCACTCTTCCCCGAAGCGGTTGGTTTCCTCTGACCTACTTACTGTAGTGTTCCAACCCAACTACAGTACACAGTTCCCGTCACACTATTTGAGTCACTAACGTTTTGCTTTATATCACAAAAATTACCACTGCAATTAAGCCTGAAAATATACCACTAACTACTTGAATATGACTTATTTCCAGCAGAATTTAGAAAATCTCTCCCACATAGTCAATCCATTTCAGTATAGTCACAGAAAAGATCGACAGGACCAATACATTAACAAAGAAAAGAACTGTAAAGCTAACCATGCTTTGATAACTTTAGCTACTCGTCAAACAGCAAACAGCCGAGCATGCTGGATGTAGCCGAAGGTCAACTAGTCAGATTTAAGATGATTTTGTGCCGCTTTTGTAACACAAGTAAAAAGTAAAAGAAGTACTAGCAGAGACGTATATATTGTAATATTTGATCATATCCATGAATTGTTTACAGATAATGAACGGCAAAAGATGGAGTGCAATATTTTCTCTATCAAACATGCATGTACATCACAAGATATTTTTTCAGTACTTATGAAACATGATGTGGTGTTTAAGACAGGGATTGAAATATATATTTGTTACACATTTATTCAATTTAAAAACGCAGTGTTTCTGTTTATTGTTTTATGTTGTGAAAATATATCTTTGCTATATTCAGAGACGTATAATAATAATGCTATATTATAGGAGTTTTTGTACAGGATGAAACCTACTTATTATGATGTCGCTTATTATAATTCTTTTCCCATGTACTGATTTTATCCTTCAACTAAGCAAAACAAATCGTTTATTATGATATGGTAAAAGGTTGGACCCCGCTTATTATAATATTTTTATCTGCCGTGAATTGAATTTATAAGGTAAAAACTCAGGTAAGTTGTCCGTGTTTGACACCAGGACAATTGAACCTTAGTCGGGCCAGGGATGTGTCCACTACACATCCCTGGTCGGGCTAACTGTACATCGCCCTGAGGTGATCAACTGTTCACTCCAGGTACAATTTTCACACCTCGCATCATCCCCGTCAGTGGAAAACAATAGACCGACCATCGCTTTCTAGCCATAACAAAACATGTTCGGTAGTCAATTGCTATCTAAAATACACTGTGTGTGAAATGGAAATGATTAGGCCAATCTGATTAAAATCATCTCTTACATGGCTCCTATCGACATTTTCTGACACAAATTCTGATGAGAAAACGAGCATGCCTTCCATTAATATTAACGGTTGTCGTGACACGTCATGTGAGAAAATCATGCCGATTCAATGAAAATATCACTCCAGACGGAAGACTTGTGTTTATATTCATTTAAGCAATGGTTTCCCTATTCTCTATTGCATTACAAGTTGATTTCCCCGTGTCTACTTTGAAAAGTGTCAAAATCGGGGCATGCTGTCCTGACAGCATAGTGCCCGAAATCGATCCAAGTAAACGTTGTTGTCGTAATCAACTGACGACGACTTTTTTTATTTACACTATACACTATTTTCGTTGAAAAGAATATTTGATTATTGTTAAAAAAGAAACATTTTGTATTTTTAGTTGTTATTGTTTCTATGCAATTTGATTTCACCGCACGACTTGCGAGGCATGTGACTGTCACGTGATCGTAATTTACATAGCGCGGCAAAATAATATGACGCTTATGGGTCAAAATTTGTTAATTGTCATTAATATCGGCTTGTTTAAAAAATTCGATAAGATTTCATTTTGTCGTCGTATACGTACAAATGATCAGTATGTAAATTCTACTTTTACTTTCAAATAACTTCGAGCAAGAACTAAGAACTCCCATTATTATACTTCATCCTAGCTAACGATATCGTAATATAACAGTTAATAAGATTAAAGAAGTCATATAAATAGTCATGAAATACATGAAGTATAATAATGGGAGTTCTTTGTTCTTGCTCGAAGTTATTTGAAAGTAAAAGTAGAATTTACATACTGATCATTACGTATACGACGACAAAATGAAATCTTCTCGAATTTTTTAAACAAGCCGATATTAATGACAATTAACAAATGATTTCAATTACTACTTCATCAATTTGTATTATTACTCAGGTTTTCATATTAATCTATTTCTGATGATTATAGGGCATCTCAATTCCGGTTCAGACAACCTAAAAACGATCGAAAACAGCTTGATCGTTTTTTGGTAATATATCGTCTATTATATTATTTTTCTCTGGTAAATAAAATATAATAAGCGGTTTCCACTGTTTCCATTATTTATTTCTGACACAATTGCGGACTCCTGTGATGCGATGCATGACATTGCACTTGCCAAATACATTTCAAATGTTGCATGTGGTCAGGTAATCATATGTTCTTAACAGAGAAATATTTTGGGCAAAAGATTATTGAATTGTCGGGGGCTTGAAATCCCTGAGCACTCATGCGGGGGCTTGAAATCCCTGAGCACTCATCCCTGCGATTGTCGATTGGCACACATATTACGGTACTATGCCGACTGCATCGTCGAGTATCTTGCCGTGTGAACTGAATGCTTTTGTAAAGATTGCGTGGCAATGTACGTACTCTGAATCAGTGAATAACATTTTAATTTGTTCCGAAATAGACAGTGTGCAATATAAATGAAACTCCAGAATGATATCACCCCAAGCTTGTCTAAAGCCAATACATAGTCTACGTCTCTGACGCACTGTCACCTTGATGTTGAAGTCAATATATTATGTTTTGAGTTCATTGCGAGCGTAGCAAGCTTATTTGATTTTAATATTTTCATTTCTTGAGTAATGATTCTGTTTTTTATCGGAGAATCTTTTTCTTGCATGGTGGATAAACAGGTTTTTTTCTGGTAAAAATTGAAATACATGTAAATATTCATGAATCATTCCACTCTGGCATTTTACTTAAAAAAATGCAAGTTGGGAAAGTACAAGGTGGCTAGCCAAGACAGGTATCTAACTTAATTTTGTGCAGCACTATATGGTTCAGATTACATGCGTAGCAAAATGAACTGGACCTGTCCGAAAAAAAATCTGGATGCGCCCCTGGTCATTTCTAAAGAAAACATAATAAAGACTGTTAAACATGGAAAAAGCATGACTAATAAAAATGACCGTTAAATATTATATAAAATAATAAACTTACAACAAAAACAATAAATGATGTATCCTTTCTTGTATTTCAGGCAGCACAGGAAGCTTTGGAAGATGTGAATCAAACCAATCTGCAATAAAGTTTTAACTTTAAATGGACTGCATGATTGCCAGACATAGTATACATGCTGTGCAGTTGTGGACCAATATGGATTCAAAAGTGTCCATCAAAGCCATTTTATCACATATACATTTTTTACATACACTGGTAATACATGATCTCCCATCAAAAACTCAAAATTTTCCTTGATAGAGACCTCCCTTCTAGTTGAGGCCATAGCTCCCTCACATATCCTCCCCACCTAGTCACTTTCCTTATTGGTTGGTGCATTTTGCAACAGTTCATTGGCCCCCTTTATGGGTATCGAGCCTCGTATTGGTATGTCCTGAAATCAGAACTTAATTTTAGGTTACAACCAATATTAAAATCCAAATATGTTAAAGTTGAAAATTGCGTCCTATTTGAAGAAACATATCTAAATGAGAAAGTTATGAAGGATGGGGGACTTTCTGATAAAAAATTCTTTGAGATGTATTTGCTGAGGAGAACTCCCACCCCCAAACCTGGTCTTAACTGTCCAAGACCACTGTCATAACTGTTTGTGTATCAAATACTTGTATAAATACACATACATACAAATACTTGTATAAATACACATACATGAAATACGCCATGAACATACTTCTGTAACTTACAGAGCAATATTAAACCACAAGAGGCTTGAAAATCTGTATATAATATACTATTAGTAATAACACAGCATGTAACTGTCCATGGAAATTTACCTGGCAAGTCTAGTACCTTTCACATGATGTGAAATTAGCAAGCAACGGTTAAGCTTAATTGACCCTAAATTTGGAAAAATTTGGGGACTGTGATTAACTGTTGCCTCAGCACATTTCATGATAACACACAATACACTTTACTGACTTATTGTGGAATGGATTCCATGCTATACCCCTTATTACGAATGTAAGAAAATGATATTTTGAACATCAGAAAAATATGAACTCAAAATCACTTTCACAAGCCTACCTTATTGTTTGCATAAAAATTGATAACTGAAGTTTAATGTGATTCATGTATTACAATATTTATTTGCAGTGAGATTGTTGTTTAATGACACAATGTTAATTAGTCCCCCACCGGGATATAGAAATTGATTTAAGTTTCATACTGTTACTATTAACATGATCATACGAGGAGGTGTATATATACTGACATATGACCCATGGCAACATCCTTGTTGACCTAAAGATATTTGTGACACACGTGCACTGTTGCTGGTCTGTAGGAAATATATGTTTCACCCTCTACCAATAGGTACTATGAAGATATTGCAACAGTCATATAACTATTCATTCGGAAGTTAACTCTTTATTTACGGCAGAAGCAGAGCCCAAAGCTTCTTGGAGTAGTACTTGTTGGTCCTTTGAGGGAAAATACAATTCAGACTATTGCCAACACAGACATAAGATAAGAAGAACTATTTGTTCACATCATTTTGAGCAACTTTAAATGGCGTTTAACTTGCATCTCAACTGACTGTATTGTGTTCGTTTTTCCTAAAATGTTAAAATCAAGAAAGCATGTGTCGGGAGTCCTTTCAGCACTTTGATTCATATTTGCCGCCTTTTAATTCCGCAACACGCGTTAAAAAAATCCCCAAACTTCTGGATTGTTTTCCCTTGATATAGTCCAATGTACCGAGTTACTTTAAAACAGATTATGTTGGCATTTATATTAATGTATTCGAAGCCCTCCAGAAACTGGAGAAATACAAAGAAATATAAAATCATATATTTTCTATTTATTATGAACAAGCGGAATTCCATGAATTTGAAAATATTCTTTTTAAGATGTGTCTGAAGGAAGGCCTGTGTGCGAGCGCTGAACGTGTCCCCCTTTCGGAAAAAAATTAAATCATCTAGAAGCGCTCTGGTGCATTTTTACTAATTATAGCATGTAACTTGGCTAATAATTTAATCGATTTGATGTATTTCTTTCTCTCATAAGAATGAACGAGCTTTTTAGAGAGAGAGAGAGAGAGAGAGAGAGAGAGAGAGAGAGAGAGGGGGGGGAGGGGTATTAAATATAGGCCTAGTCGTTTAGTAGTCTGCTACCTACGAAGTATAGCCGACCAATGCCACTGGCAGGTTAGAGTTATCTCCCTTCTTAGTTTCACATCCTGTAAATCTGTAAACAAACAGGCTTGGACCCAGGTAATTGTTCTTTAATATTTAAGAGATAATCCATTTATTATACAATCAATGTTAATGGGATCGCTTTATATAACAAGCAGGCTAATTTTTGATATAATGGTTAATTATTTTGAGTACTTACTTACGACTAAGATAAAGTAAACAAATTTTCAGACGCAGGAAATAATATCTTAATCATTAGAATTCCCTAAATACTGCTGTTGTCATTGTCTATTTTTATCTCAAAGCTGCAGGTAGCTCAGCTATCGGTTAACGGGAAAGCACTGTAGCCGTATCTATGCAAACAGATCGTGCATACCCACAAGAGCATGAACAGATGAAGTTCTGTCAAAAATTAATAATAACACTAACAGTAATACAAAAAATACCTATAATATGTTTTTTGTATTACTGTTATTATTAAGTTTTTGCTGAACTTAAGGCTCCTGTGGCGACCAGGTTGCTCAATGGGTTGGGGCGTCTGTCTTGAGTTCGGATGATCCTGTTTTCGAATCTTAGTCTTGCAGTGCATTTTCCCTCTCCTGTTACACATGTAATACAAAAATACACAAAGGTGTAGATACCATGCTGTTTCGCCCTAAATCCCGATCGCGCTGAGGGTTGTTTCGCCCTTAATCCCATACGCCCTAGTTTGTTTCACCCTTATTTTTTTTAAATCGATAAGTTAATATAATAATTAATATTTAAATATATCAACTAAACTTATTGAACTAGGGCGAACAGGATTTGGGCCGAAACAACCCTGAACCTAGGTATATGGCTGCACATGCCAACATCCATATTTGAGAGGTAGTCTCAAAACTTTCCAGGCTTATATTGCATTGTTAGAAATCCATTTTGCCCATAAGGCAGTATTTTCCCCTCATATTCATTGGTTGCACCACATACATTTTCTATGATGTTAAAGTTAAAAGATACACATAATTTAGACATAAACATATTGATGATGTTTACAATACACCCATATATGTGTATCATTTATGTAAATATATTAACCCGAATTATGTTGGGTATATTTATGTAATATTTTATTAATTTTAAATCTTGCTGAACAGACCATTTTGTTGCATTTTCAGACCTGAATGTGGTTACCACTGTAAGACAACCAGTTGTGTATGTGTTAGCTGTCCACCATGAGGACCTCCTCTATACATTGGACCTATGTTCAACATTACCTGTGGGCCCTTGTGTCACTTATCATCATTCCACTAGCCAGGACTGGAGATAGCACACGTAAGAGTCATAGAAACACTAGAAAATTTCTGTTGATTGATGTTTATAATGTCATAACTTAAGAATTAATCAAAATGTATCTGTTCAAAGAAATGTTTGCTGGTGACTTTTCATTAGTGTCAATCTTACAGCTTTTCCATTTTTATTTTTATTTCATGACCAAAAATCCAGACATGTGATAAATTTAATTACCAATTGAAGCCCTGAGACAATTCTGTAAAATTAACGTTTTTTAGACCAAGTCTAAAGGCTTGACAAATATTGTCGCAATCCAGTGCTGTTGATTAAGCCAGCACATACCAGCTTACAATGGGTTGAGATGCTGTGAAACACCCCAGGCTTTGCAGTCACAGGGGCTGGTAATTATATAATTGAACACAATGAGATTTGACTTGGTTGGTTGTTTAAAATTAATTGTTTATATACTTCTTGTAAATGAATACCTTCGTCTTCTATATCCTAAAAAAGTTACAATTTAAGTTCTTGAATCATTCAGATTCCTTCACCGTAAATGGGGGTAACTGTGGCTCCTTCATCAGCTTCATGACTAAAACAATGGACATACATTGGAAGGGTGCAGCTCTGGAAGATGACTGTTCTGTCTACATAGCTATAAACTCAATCACACCGTACACAGTTAACAACACCCTGTGTGCTAGAGCGGAGGCGTGGGACGTGACAGATAAACACTTCACTCTCAGCTTTGGATCAGGATTTGGCTACACAAGGAGAACGGTACATAAAGTCAAAGTTTGCATATGTTAAAATGACAGAACAGTGCTAGGAGAGTCTCACTCTCATTTGTTAGGTACTTCATCACAAAAGAAGCTTAATTACCACAACTGTTAAGTATTGGAAAGATATTTGTATGTTTGAAACAGGACTATCAGTACCAGCCCACATGATGTAACATATTGGACAAAGTTGGTCTCACTGTACTGTTATTGAATAACATTAATCTTTTCTTAAATTGTTTTGCTCTTTTGTCTGATACAGTTATCAATGGGTATGCGTATAGCCAGGCATCTAATATACATGGATGTTACAGTTTTCGAAGTGGTTATTATTCAATTTCTTCCTTATTTCACTACTTTAGGAAGCATATACTAAAATAAAAGGGTGACCATATCAAATCTACTAAAGATGACGGAAATTAAGTAGAGATGACTTAATATGGGGTGTACATCGTTTATTTTACAACTTCTAGTCTTACTTGTACACTGGCAGATTAACAAGGGCCCTGTAATATTGTGTTATTTACATAGGCTATGCGCCAGATACCATTCATCTATAAAATTAACACAGATGGGTTACAAAGGGCAATTCATTGTATTTTTACAATATATCCTACATTTTGATTATGATAACAATGATCATGACCTTAAGAATTGTTCAATCCCCCCATTACACAGTACATGTATATATATGTAAATATGTGTTTAATTATGATAAGTTAAATAGTGAAATAAGGATGCCATGGATTCTTATCCATTTTGGTAGTTAGCATCTCTCATGGCTGTAGTACATGTGTTTATTACGGTCACCAGGCTATACGTGGGTAATTATATTCAGGTGACCTCTAGGTCATGGTAATTAGAACACTTCATATCTGTATTAATTTATAAGATGTCTATACTTTTAATGTCTCATGGCTATAGTACATGTGTTTATTACGGTCACCAGGCTATACACGGGCAATTATATTCAGGTGACCTCTAGGTCATGGTACTTAAAACACCTAATATCTGTATTAATTATAAAATGTCTATACTTGACTAACTCTTCCTTTATTACAGTACTTCAAAGCCAATGAAACAAAGAACAATGTTACGTACTGTGCTAGAGAAAATAGCGGACTTCGCCTACGATTCTTCACATACAGAAAGTCAAAGTCACATGTACACCTGAAGATTACACAGACATACATACCAGGTATAAACAATCCTGATGTGCTAAAAGTGCAGTCCTCTATTTTCTCAGAGTTTTAAAACTCAAGATCACATCCTAGTTTAACAATGCTCTGTAAATAGCAAAAACATACAAGGATGGAAAGTACTTTTTTTATAATCGGCAGGTTTTGTTTAGTTAATTTGGCATGGAACATTTTTGTCTCATTTTGTGAAATACATATATACCAATTGGGAAGGAAATTATCAGTAGTAAATTGGAAATTTTGGGAAATAGGCATAAATATGAAATAGTGTTCCAATTGGGAATGATTCCCATTATAACCCCCAAAAAGTCCACAGAAATAACAATGTTAGGAATGATTAAGTTGGAAATGATTGTTCAAATATTTTTGTAGTGAGGATAGGGGAAAATGAATAATTGTATATTATATAACATTATATTAATTCTTTACAACTTAAAATATTCTCCTGTTATCCTCCTGTCAAGATATATTTCTGGAATATCTCTTGTTTTAACTTACCTGTACCTAGATGTTTGGTTTATTAGGTAGATATTAAACTATCAACAATAAAGTATTATCTGTGTCCTATATTAGATGACAGCCGAGGAGATCCACTACCTACAGCAGTGTATAGACTCCTGGGAGGGGCCGGCGCCATCATCATGGTCGGACTGCTAGCGTCAGTCATCCTTAAACGAAGACGCAGAGCGAGACAAGGTTACATTGGTAGAGGCGGTGTGGTCCTTAGACGAACAGATGAGGCTGGCAACAGAGATGAGGCTATGGTGGCTCTGTACCGACCAGCACAGAACAACCCGTGTACATTTACGACGACAAGCACTTCCAACAATGGAATTAACGGGTACAATGGCCCTGCCGCTCAATCCTTTACAGAGTACCCATCTTCACAACCAACAAAGCCGCCAGAGTACTCTGAAATCCAAGGTTGGTAATATTGAATTGAATTTGGATGTGAAGCTTAACTCATTCACCCCTGAAGACTCATTTTAACTCTTCCAATTTAAAGGTTGGAATAGTTCATTATGAAACTTCAGGGGTGAATGAGTTAATTCTAAGTGATACGGTAGAACTGAAGGTTAGTAAAAAAAAGTCAGTCTAGCAAATGTATAACCATAACTTATAATATATAGGTAAAATGTCAGCAGTATCAAGAAATAAATGCTTCACTGGTGTAACAATGAAGAATAGCTTCTCGCTGGGACTGAAGGGCACGGATCACAAGCAGAAATGGAAATAAATTTTCGGAAGACTACTCCTCAAGTATAATAGAAAGAATTCAAACCTAATTTGTCATGAAACATCCATTGGCAAGGGAATTCAATAGTATGTAAATGTGGCCCTCTTGAGGACAATAGTTACAGCCCAACAGGAGAAAGGGGAATAATTATTTGTTCAAGTAATTTTCCAGTTTCTGTAGGATAGTGCTAACCAAACTTGGTGTAAATGATCATCTTGGACTGATTTAGAATCTGAGTAGACTTCTTGACCTCTTATTGGCTGTGACATTTTTGATTCACAGCTTTCAAATAAGTATTTTTTATTTTGGTTCTTCAGTCTCCTAAAATTATATTATAAACTTTAAATATGCAGTGGATCAGCAGTTGGTTTACTACTTCTGATCGCCAATTGATTTTAAACTGATTGTCTATATCAATACTGTTTAGTTTGTTAAAATGATTGACCTTCACCCGTCTTTCTAGATCATGGGGTCATGATATTTGGCCTTGACCTTCACCCGCCTTTCTAGATCATGGGGTCATGATATTTGGCCTTGAACATGTTTGTTCAAATAGATGAACTTGACAGGCTTTCAAGGTCATCAGTGTAAATTGTTTAAAACTCTTCATTAAAAAAAAATCAAAGCAACACTTTCCTCTGTATTTGGGATCAACCTGGTGAACTATTCTTGAAGCTGAAGGATGACGGAAAGAGTAACACAACTGAAACACTTCGAAGAGTGCAGTTTTCACTGTTTTAAATGAAGTACCTGTATATTTTAAAAACCAGAATAAACAGACATGGCATCAAAGTATTGTAATGGTCTATTGAAACTATCGTTAGATGTCATTACAGCAAGGTTTTAACTGGATGGTGAGAGAATGAAATACTTTTTTTTGCAAATATTAGAATGTTATGAAAAATCAATACTGTCATATGTACTGTGTACAATCAATATTAGGATCGACTGATTTCTGTATTTCTATTAATTATGTTATATTGACCAGCAATTAATTTTATCATCTGATTGAAACCAGATTTTGTATTCCACTCCTATACACAGAGGATCGGAGTGGAATAAAAGATCCGGTTTTAATAGACTGGCCCCCGTCTCTAGAATATTGAATTATCTATAAAAATTGAACTCTTATAATTTTGATCACTTGGATGCCCAAGTTCCACACAAAGGGGAGATAACCTAGTAGTAAAATGCAGTTGAGCAATTCTTCATAAAAGCTTAGGGGCTGGTAGCCAGTCTGTGGTTTTAATAGTATTGTTTATTATATTACCGTTTTACCCACCTAGGAAAATTGTTTCTCTCATGTTAATAAATCATTGTATCAATATTATAACTTAATTAACCCTTTCATCACTGTAGACCATAATGGACTCATCTAGATCAATGAATGGTAGAGTCTACCTAAGTTACATAGGGGTGAAAAGGATAAAGATTGCATGTGGGTTCATGTGTCTTATTGCTAGTTTGAATAACAGATATATACAATTACTTCATGCTTTTCACGTAATTCATGCCCACCAGCATTGGTCAGTAATATACTGATCTAAGCTTAAACCTGGTAGGTCAACTGTCCTCCTACAGTGTACATATGATGTCCATAATTGGCCGAAGCTCTACACATACAAAACATGTAAATTTTGTCTTTTGCAGGCAACCAAAATGGATTCCCACAATACCCAGATTCAGCTCCACCATGTTATGAGGATGTTGCCGGGGGCAGATCTGAAAACACCAAGATCTAATTAAACATGTCCACTAATTCTGCTGTAGATTTTAAACAAATATTCCGTTATAGTTTTACAGTTTTTTTAGAAAAATTACCAAGAGTATTATGAAATTTGGCTTAGAGGATCATGACCTGTTTAGCCTTACAATGTGCCTTAGTGTAAATTAATCAATGAAGAAAATAAAACATAATTACTGTAATAGATTTTTTCAGTTCAGTACCGGGCACCTCTCAGCATAGTTATCCCAGAAACATTATAATGTCTTCCACATAAATTGAAGTGTTATGTCTATAAAAAGGATAATTAAGTTTCAGTAATTCATAGTTGATTTCCAACCATTTTTATGTTGATGTGTATATTGCATGACGATAGTACAATGTACTATTGTTTGTCGGTTTGTTTCCTTGCCTACACAATAGTATAGGTATAGCCAGCATTGTTATATTGCTTGTATACTGCAATTGCTACATTTAACTGATTATTATAATACATATTGCAATATATTATGAAAAATAAAACAAATGGATATATAGAATGCAATTTTTTAAAGTGAGACTTAAGATATAAATTCTAATCTGAGATATAGTATTGCTGAAAATTCCTTTTGAAACAATTAAAACTACTTATACAAAACTGTTAATTGATCAGACATCACTGATTTATTCTATATTAAAAAGAAGTGAATGTAAGCATTATTTATGCTGAATGGTTAAAGAAACTTGTGTCAATACTAAACAAAATGTAAAATTTTGACAAATATTGCATAATGATTTTTCAAAAAACCTATTATAATACAGTACAACTATATAATATTGTCAGGCAAAAAAAATCCATAATTTGCTTTCATTCAATCCTGTCCTCAGGCCATTCAGGCAGCGCTGCACACAATCATTTCTGATCAACTATATCTTTTCACTGCAATAGCCGATCAACTTCATTTTACAATCATATTGTTGATACCTTTCTTGCCTTAGAAAGTGCCTTTTGTCTTTCACGTCTTAGTGTACACATGATTTCTGATTAATGTGAACATAAACCTAAGTTAGACCTTATTGAAACATTTATGTAAAATGTGATTAGATTTTAATGTTATACTTACTTGATTGTTACTTTTTTGTTATATTCCTGAGCTTGCTCACCCTCAAGAATCCTTGAGCATGTCTTCCCATTGGCAGTATGTAACGATGCTTTTATAATCATACTATTATACATTATCGATTTCAACCAAGTTGTAAAGATTTGCTTTAATTATTTAACTTTGTTTTTACACTTATACTCTGAGTGTTGTAATAGGACCTATGTCAAAGTTCTTGGTACAATGGCAAGGCGTCATCTTGTAATAAAACGGTTGAATGCATTCAACATTGAAATATATTTTTTGCTGTGCAGATGTGTAAACAATTATAAGCACTATCCTAATTTTGGTAATTGCAAAGTTCTACATTTTTTTTACAATACATTTGAGAAAATTATTTTGATTCCCAAAAAACATTAAAATCATCCTTGCTAGTGTGTTTGAATAGAACAGCACAATGTCATTTTTATTCTTACTGGACCTATGACACAATTCTCTTTTGATTTAATATACTTCAAGCAACAAAGTGTGTGCTGGGGGGGGGGGGGGGGGNTTTACACATAACGCTGTTTGCACAATTGCTCGGTCCTTAAGTCATTGCTCCAATTTGAATACTTTAGTTACAGAATCCTTTCATTAAATAAAATAAGTAAATAAAAGAGTTACCTCCCCTATTTATGGAGAGTCATATCCCTTTGTTCAAAATCATTTGTTTGCATTTCTCAGAACCAATTTAAATGATACAAATGTACTTGATACACAGAACCCATACTAGTGGTTGTGAAAAATGCATCTGCATGCATGTTAATTGGAGTACCCCCCCCCCGCCCCACCCCACCCCCCCTGTCTTCATTTTTGAATTACAATTACAATAATGCATTTATGTTTAAAAACCTTGTTAAAAGAACCATTCATACAGGTCTTGGCACAGACTGGGAGTACATACTCTGCCATTGTTTTGAGTTATAATTTGATGTGGAATTTTGCATTGTGTATAACAAGTTTCTATAGGTAATGGGAGAACATATTGTGTGTCTGAATTACACAGTATTATAGTGTTGTGGTCTGCTTTAAACGTTTTTAATGTTATCATAAAATACTTAAAAAGTCCCTTATGTACTTAAATTGGTATTCCTGTCAGCACGAAGAGTGTTAAGCCCTAAAATAAGATTGCTTGTGTGACAAATATCTAAATCAGTTTCTTTTTATTGTTCTGCATTTCCTGGAGAAATTGCCCCATGTGGCCTTATTCATATTTTATATATATTTTTATTTGAAGTTCAAGATGAGATTTTGATAAATAGTAATAATTTGATTTTAGGGCAATCGTTTAAGGTAGTTCTGTATTTTTTATCTTAAATGTCATATATTGTACAGTTTGTTAAGTTCATGTGAATTTTAATTTTAATTTGATTAAGAGTAATTGTTCTTTGTTTTATATAATCCCCGTCATTAGTAAAACTGTAGCATATGTACATTATGTATATATCCTGACAGCGATACAATTTTATAGTGACAATCTGTACTTAAGTCAGTATAATGATATCTCTGTCTCCATTGCTCTCCTTACCAAAACACAACTGACCATGCATTTATGCCATGAGCAGTGTCCATCGGTCAATGTTTCATTTAATCCAAGACTAGCTACCAGACCAGAGTGGCTGAACATAATGTGACAAAATTTGATGTGATTGAATATCCCTACATGGGACAAGGGGATTCGGTAGTGTTTAAATTAAAACCAGAAAAGGCATGCAATCATATATAGAGATTATTTTAAAATGGATGAAGCTATTTTTATTTGCTTTCTTGGTAAGAAGGACCCGTGGACCAGGGAACCTGAATTATATACATCTTTGTACCATTATGACATTCTTTATGACTGAATATGGAGCAGAATATAGACTAGCAGCCGACAACAAATACATGTCTTTCTAGGCCTATTGGATCATGTCAATCGTAGAGAACCTACAGAATTTAGCAAGTGTTTGAGCTGCATATTTCAATGAATAAATAAACAACAATCATTTCACTGTTAATAAAGAAAAAGCAGTGTCAGTTACAGTATTTTTTACTAAACAATCTTGTTTGTAAAACTAAATCACTTGGACTTTTGAATATGGTCATTTTGTGGGTTTTGACATCTGAAATGGTCAGAAAACATGTTTTTCTCTTAATGTCATGCTCCTGTTAATATCATGTTTTCCACAAATGAAAAGTGACATTAAGCGAAATGTACTGTATTAATGAAGGGTGTGTCCCCCTCCCAGGTGTATAGGGGTGTCGTATTGGTACATACATATTTTAAAAGACCACTCCTTTGAAATATAGTTAAAGGGTTTTTGATCTAATTTGGAATCAGATTCTGTGGGCTGAGGAATATGCAACATTAGAATGAAAATTTGGTATAAAAAACTGTCCTTGTTCAAGAGCATTAGTGGGTGGAGGGTACAGGACTCATTGTGAAAATATCACGATGGAAAATATTTGATTTGAGGGGTTTGAAATATACATATAGGAAATGGGTTCCAGGTAATATTTGAAGATTTTCTTTGCCAACTTTTGCCTTTTCTGAGCTTGTACTTATTTTGCTATTTTGATGTATACAACATACAATTATCAACATAATTTGTCATACAAATAAAGATCAGGTGTGCTTTTTAATTCAGGCCTGGACCTCTTGTATGAAAAAAATATTTCGTTATTGATATAACCTACCCATGCATATAGTATCCTTAAGTAACATTCTCTAGATTTTAATCAAAATTGTAAGTTTTAAATCAAACACAATGTGCATCAATCTGTTTATGCAGATATAGCACAAATTTTAATTTTTGCTTCTTTCAAGGAATATTTTAGGGCCATTTTGAATGCAGTGAGCACAATTGATTTGATTTTAAATGTTCATTGAGTATCAAAATAATGTTCAATACACACACTGTTATACATATATACTTATCATAACGAAAAATGAATTTATCTTAAAATTAATAAAATTGAGATGAGGAAATAAGTTGTTATGCAAGTTTTGAAAAATTCCTCTGCCATCTTAAAATGGTGGCCACCACCATTCTTTTAAAGGCAATATATATAAGCTTTGTTTACATGATTGTCTGCTCATACATAAACAAAATAATAAGTATTGTGTAAAAAATGTAAGAAACTATTAACAAATAAGTATACAAATGTACATATGGGATTGTTAAATTTAACATATATTTGGCAGCCATCTTGGAATTGGTTGCCATCTTGAAAGAAAAAGATTGGCCCCATAGCCTAAATTGATCAGTATATAATTCTCAACCAGTATGACAAGTTTTATGCTTCTATCCTAAAATCTATGATTTTCCTGGTTTTTTCACCATTCTCGGCAAATATTTTGCGGCCATCTTGATTATTTTTTTATTGGCCCCATATCCAAAATTGATCGGTATATCATTCCCTATATGCATGCCAATTGTTATGCTTCTACTATAAAACCCACAATTCTTCCGATTTCTGCACCAATCTGCCGGACTATATCTTGCACCTATAGATATCTACAATTTATATTAAAGCGATTTTGTTTTAATGGAATTTTGAATTTCTTTTAATTATTCTTTTTTCTTCATAATTTTTTTTTTAATTTTTTTAATTTTAATGAACACATATGTCACATCTACTTTGTATTAGCTTGAACTATTAGGTATACATACAATTTTTCAAAATGTAATTTAAATTTTGTTATCTCTATTAAATGTGTGTGAAATGTCATAGGCATTTTAACAATCAAGTAATATGTATAATTTTATATTCCTGAGAATTTTAGAAATTGAGATGTTATATCAATAATTGAAATACACACCAGGTAAAGACTAAATTATGATTGAAAGAAAAATAAATGATTTATACAAATTTACCAAAAAAAGCAGTTATTATTGTATTTACAGTGTATTGAATAAAGGTGTCCCATTACTATGCGGAGGCTGACAATTTGCCATAGGTCCCTGAGGGAGTAAGCAACGTTTGGAGTGGTGATATAGATATACCCGTTCTACAATAAGTATGACCTTTGCGTCATTAATACACAATTGATTTGTTCAGCTCTCATGTTTTCTCCTAAAGATAAAGCTTCATCTGTAGCTTGCTAGCATAGAGTGTAGCCCCAGTTTCCTCTGACCCGGCACCAGACTAAGAGATTTTGACAGATATATATAGATTTGTCAAAATGTCCAAGTCTGGTGTCAGGGCCAGAGGAAACTTTTAACCACTGCAGTGTGCACTCAAACTACATCTGAAGAACCAAACTGCTTAGCGTCAAGATATTTGCCCAGAATACTTCCATAGTTGCTGTCATATAGTGCTACAAATTTGCAAAAGGAAATGACCTTGACCCATATTCAAGATCACAGGGTCAAAGTTTTTAAAATACTCTCAACAACTTCTTTTGAAGACTTTCGTGATATTCTGGTCTCGGTAAGTAGCTGGTATTACACAGAAATGAGGTGCTATGAAGTTTGTGGAAAGAATGACCACTGAAATCAGGTAATAGCATCTAGAACAGCCCCAAGAGACATTGTTTTTCAAACGTCTTAATAGACTGTCTTCTTAGATACATGTATACTAAGGTTCATAATAACCATATATGCAGCAGGTCAAGAATAATGATAGGATGAAGGATATAAAGTTTGTTCAAATGAATGACCTTGACAGTTTTAAGTGTGACACAGGGATCAATATGTTAAACTTTCAAAGAACTTTTCTGAATAATCAAGAGGCTTATGGCCACATTTGGCCTGTATGGAGGACTCATTAAGCATTGAACTGCTTTCAGTTGGCATATGAACAGCCATTGCCAGGGGAGGGTCAGTGGTATCAAACGTAACAATTATGACCTCATAATAATGATGACGTCAACAATCGGTCCATGGCATTCATAGCTATATGAATGCCAACTGAATTTGGTAGAGTTATATAGTGGCAATGCCATACGATGGTAAATATTATGCAGTGATAAAGGGATAGAAGATTTTTTCAAATGAATGACCTGGACATAATAGTTACAATATTGATGTTTGAATTGCAACTTAACACAAACAGGTGTAGGTGTCAAGTGTATTAAAACATTTAAATAGCTAACTGCTATCCTATTGTAAGATTGTATGCTTAGAAAAAGTTTTATAAAGTTTGATAAACTAAAAAACCTTGGCCATCTTTTAAAGTCACCGGCATCAAATAACCATAAGGGCTAGAGTTTTTGGCCATAAGCATACCTGGATCAAAAGTTTTCAAGTTTGTTTCGAAGTAAATGACCTTGATCATGATTTACTTTCAAAATTACAGGTGCCGAATGGTTTAAATCTTTAAATGAATTCTGCTAAATCAATACATGAGGTCAAGAGTACCGTAATGATATGGTGCTTATAAATACAAATGTACCTTGCTCATGGGAAAGTGGAAATATTGTACCAAAAAATGAATTGTTTTGGTCAAGATCAGATGTGTAAAATAGACAAGACTTAATTAAAAGTCTTGTAAATTGTGGAGTTTTAACTATTGACAATTTG